CGCCCTCCCCCATGTGGCTCCGTCCCTCCCCCCACTGCCTGGCCTGCTTCTGTGGGATCTGTCGTTCTGCTCTGAATGGGCCTGAACCCCCGCTCCCAAGGTCCACCCCTTGAGGACAGAGCCAGCTGGGGACCAGGATGCTCCCTCCCAGCACAGAGTGCTTTTCTGTTCCTGAGGCCTCAGGCACCCTCCGGGCTGGTCCAGGCACTGGCCTCTGCCCCTCAGGCCATGCTGCCCCCATCCTCCCCAGGACTCCTCCTCACTCCCCACAGAGCACTTCAAGAAACCCCTCCTCTGGCTGCTGCATGAACAGGGCATCCACATGGCCAGTCTCCCAGGGTCAGGGCCTCAAAAGCTCTCGCACCCCAGGGTGCACATCCTCCACCTGCACCTGACCATCTTCCCAAGGCAACCCCGCCTGCCCACCGGGGCGGAAGGAGCAGAGCCTGCCCAGAGAAACGCAGGCTTGGGAGCAGACCTTTAGCAGACAAGCCCAGCCTGAGATGCGGGTGGTGGCCCAGGGCCTGCGGCTAAGGACCTGCCTCAGTTTCCCCAAGCACGCTCCCCAGAACTCAATCGCCCCCTTTTCTGGTTCTCGCCCCTCACAGCCTAGTGCAGCCCTGCAGGGGACCCAGCTGGATTGGAGGGCAGTTCTCCTGCCTCTCCACTGTCTGCTGCCCACCGGGGGCTGGGATCGCCGACACCCTCCCCTCCCCGACTGGCCACCTTGCCCAGGTGAGTCGGAGGGTGGTTCTGCAGCCCTGGGTGGGTGTTGGTTTGAAACAGTGCCCCTCCCTGCCCCCGTCTGCCCCTCCTCCTCCCTGAAGATAGGCAGGCATGGCAGGTGGATGGCGCTGTCCCTCTCGTGGAGAAGGAGGGGCTCCAGGAGAACCGTGCACCCATCCCAGATGGCCCGGACTAAGAACCCAGGCCTCCATCCCCCAGGCCAGGCATCTTCCCTCCACACCAGCCCGGCGCTGAGAAATGGCTGAGGTGGAGCCAGGGCCACTGCCACCCACCGCCCTCCTGTGAGAATGTGACCGAGTGGTCAGAAAGGCAGACTGACCGCAAAGGCAGCAAACAGTGAGAATGAATGGAGAGGGTATGAACCCAAGGCCCTGGAGTCAGAAGTGAGTGTCCTTCACCAAGGAGGACAGAGGCCTCTCTAAGGCCAGTCCTACAGTTTGGGGACCAGGAAGCTGTAGGAGGGAGTGGGGCCTCTTGTGTAAGAGAACTCGGTGGGCAGCCAGCCCAGCCTGCTGGAGGGGATCCCAGCCTGGTGCTGTGTGGACACCCATTTTCACCCACCCGCCTGACCCTGGGAGGACCACCGGCTGGCTCGGGATAGAGGAACCTGGGACCCCTGCAGGCCACCCGTGCTGGGGCAGCTCCTCAGAACCTGGAGCTGGGGCCACAGCCTCTCTTCCTGGAGCCTGGAAGGAAGCAGGCTCCCCAGTGCCAAGTCCTGGTGGGCAGCCTCAGGCAGACCCATACCCGGCCCAGGCACTGTGCTGGACTCCCCCTACCCCAGCCTGTTGTTTTGGCCTTCCAGGCTCGCCGAGGTTCCTGCTCTGGGCAGCCGTCACCGAGGTCCTCACTCTGGCTGCAGAGAGTAGCAGGTCCTAGGGCATTGGGCAGAGAGGTGCGCCCTCCTTCCTCTTCTAAAGGGCCCCCAGCCGGGGCCCATCTGGCCCCTTCCCGCAACTCTTCAGTGTCTGGCAGGAAGACACAGCGGACCTCCCTGTGACTGGAGTCCTGGCCCCAGGGCGGCCCGCTCTGAGGACCTGATCCGTGGGCTGGGGCAGGGCGGTAGAGGTGGGCACGCAGCTTCCGGGAGCTGGCAGTGGGGTCCGCGCGTGCAGCCCACAGGCGAGCCATCGCCACGTCCACGCGTGCACTAAGCCCAGCGCCAGCGCCGGGGCAGCCAAGAAGCCGGGTCGTGGAGGAGGAAGCCGTGGGCCCGGGCCAGAGCAGGCGCGCGGCGCAGGCAGGAGGCACAGCCGCTGTCGGGCAGCGAGTCCTCTGCACCGGCGGCAAATCGCCCGGACCGCCCGTCGGCCACCGACCCCCGCATCCCCGTCAGCGCCGTGGCCCGCAGCGCGCAGCTCCTGGGCCGCCTGGCCCCGGCCGCTCCCGTGGGCGCAGCAAGGGGTCCGGGCGCCCGGGCAGGAGGGCGCGGCGGGTGGGGCTGGGCCACCTCTCACGCCCTCGGGGCAGAAGGCGCGCGGGGAGGGTCCGGCGTCCGGGTGGCTGCGGCTAGCCGGGTCCCGCTAGGGCCTCGCGACGATCGGAAGTGGCGGCGCGCCCGGGTCCGTGAGCCCTGAGACCCCCGCCGCGCCCGGGTTTTCCGCCGGGCTGGCCGTCGACCTCCCGGGGTGCCCCAGCCTGCGGTCCGCCAAGGTCCCGCTGAGGCCGGAGTCCCGGGTGGGGGAGGGTTCTCGGGCGACCCCGGGAAGACGGAAGAGGCCGATCCCCAGAGGGGAGGGGGCCGGGCGGAGGCCACGTCGGCGCGTTCCCTGATCCCTTGTACTCAGCTCCTCGTGGCCCACTATCAGCTGTCCCCTTCGTGCGGGATTGACGGCTCGCAGAACAGTTACATTTCAATACCTAATTCAACGCAAAACCATCCTGTGGACGCCGTGCGAGCATTGTCCCCATTTCACAGCTTGAGAGCTGCGGCCAGAGAACGTGGGCGCGCCTCGCAAGGCCGTGGCAGCGGCGGGACTCGAACCCATTTCCCGAGTGGCGCCAATGATCCTTAGGACCCGGGGGCGATGGGGCGGTGGGGGGCCTCGCGCGCGGCTCCCTGGGAAGTGTAGTTCGGAGTCGCGGACCGGGGCCGAGTAGGAGGCGCCTGGGACTACCCTTCCCGGCATGCCGCGGGGCCGTCGGCGCTCTCGGCCCGTCTGCTCCGCCCCGCCCCGCGGCCCCGGCCCGCCCCGTCCGTTGAGGGTCCGCGCCGCATGGAGGCCAGCTGAGGAGCGCCGCCGCCTCGCCTCGGTAAGCCGCGCGGTGCAGACGGCGCGTGCGTGAGGGCCCGCCACCGGGCTGGGGGCGGGCCCAGGTCGGGGCAGTGCGGGGACTGTGGGGGGCGGGGTGAACGAGCCCGAGTCTGGGGGTGGGGGCGTGGGGGCCGGGCCCGGGTCAGGTTTTGGGGCCGGGGGGGCAGGTCGTGGGGGGCAGGCCCGGGTCAGGTTTTGGGGCCGGGGGGGGGCAGGTCCTAGGGGGCCGGGCCCGGGTCAGGTTTTGGGGCCGGGGGGGCAGGTCCTAGGGGGGCAGGCCTGAGTCAGATTTAGGGCGGGAGCAGGCCCCGCGCGTCCCCCGCCACCGCTTCCGGGAAGTGCGGCTGCGGAGCAGCAGAGCCCCCAGGGCTGGGGCCAGGAGGGTCAGCGGCGGCCTCGCGGGAGGGCAAGGGTCGGACCTCGAGTCTCGGGGTCCTCGCAAGTCAGGAGAGCCCCAGGCCCCAGCCACCCCCGCCTACTGCCTGTGGTGGAGCCGGCCGAGGTGGGAGCCAAGGAAGGCACGCGGCCCAGTCCTGCGGGCCCTCGGGGTGCTCCTGGGGAAGGCGGAGCGGGAGGCCCCAGACCCCTGTTGTCCCTCCAGCCCCGCTGAGACCTGGGGCTTGACTCGTCTGTAGGTGCCTTTGCCCTTCAGGGGGAGCAGAGCAGGGCTCCCATATGGGTGAAGTGGACGCCAGATCTTCCCCTTTGCGCCGCCCAAACTTAAAAGGTCTAACAGCTGCCGTGAAGCTGCCCTGTGTCTTTGTCAAAACTCTTACTAGAAAGATGGAGTGGGAGCTGTCTGGGCATCAGCATCCCAGAAGCAACCAGGACCGTGCTGAGGTGCTGAACTCCCTGCAGGGACTCCTGCAGCCTCTGTAGCCTCCAGGTGGACGCGTCGAGGCTTTCAGGTCCCTGAAGAGGCTGTGGAGGCTGCCAGGCTCAGGGCCCTGAATGTCTCTCCTCCCCACGTGCTGCCACCACCCCTGCAGTGTGACTGGTGGAGGCCCTGATGCTGTGGGGTCCGAGGAGGTTCCTGGCAGGGTGGGTGTGTGGCAGGGGTCTGCTGCATGGTGGTCAGTATGGGGGTTCTGCACTGACTGTGACCAGGTCCCCAGGGATGGGGAGGTGCCAGGTGTGCTGGCAAGAAGGCCTCGGGTTCCGGCTCAGGTATGAGTGTTTCAGCCTCTGCCTCCCTCACCCCCCAGCTCTGCCACACCTGCGTGAAGCACCCCGCCAGACCCGGGAGGGGTTTCCTGTGGCCAAAGATGCCTGGCCTCAGAAACGGGAAGGAGGGGAGATCAGAGCTCTGGGCCACACCCTGGTCCCTCCAAGTCTGTCATTTCTGCAACACCCAGGTCTGACCAGGTTGGAACCTTGGCTTTCTGAGCTGGTCTAGTGGGATGTTTGAGCGGTGAGGTTTTTCTGGGGACTGCGTTTGGTGCCAGCCGGCTTTTGGCCTGCACTAGGAAGCTAGGCTAGAGTCTGGGAGGCAGTTTCTAGTAGGGTGAAGGGGATAGGATGGTGTCTTAGCTCTGACTGCTGTAACAAAACATCACCGAGCAGGAAACTTTAAAAAGTAACAGTCTGGGTGCGGCGGCTCACCCCTGTAATCCCAGCACTTTGGGAGGCTGAGGTGGGCAGATCACCTGCGGTCAGGAGTTCGAGATCAACCTGGCCAACACAGTGAAACCCCATATCTATTAAAGTACAAAAACTAGTTGGGACTGGTGGCATGCCTCTGTAGTCCCAGCTACTCTGGAGGCTGAGGCAGGAGAATCCGTTAAACCTGGGAGGCAGGGGTTGCAGTGAGCCAAGATAGTGCCACTGCACTCTAGCCTGGGTGACAGAGTGAGACTGTCTCAAAAAAACAAAAAAATACAAAAATTAGCCTGGCGCCGTGGCAGTGCCTGTAATCTCAGCTACTTGGGAGGCTGAGGCAGGAGAGCCACTTGAACTGGTGGGGGTGGGGGAGAGGGCGGAGGTTGCAGTGAGCCAACATCCGGCTACTGCACTCCAGCCTGGGCAACAGAGCAAGACTCCATCTAAAAAACAAAAATGAGGTCTTGTCTTAAACTCTAGATCTCAAACAATTCTCCAGCCTCAGCTTCTCCTGAGCGGCTGGGGCTGTGGGTGAGTAGGCTCCTCCCCCTGTGCCCCACTGGTGCTGGGAAGAATCTTCAACACAGAAATCTATTTTCTCACAGTTCTAGGGACCGGATGTCCCAGATGAAAGGTGCTGGTCACTGGTCGCCATGCATCTTCCTGGCTTGTAGACGGGCCTTCTCTGGCTGCATCCTCACCTGGGGAGAGCAAGAGCTGAGAGAACGTGGTGTCTCTCAGAGGGGGCACTGACCCTGTCACGGGGGCTTTGCCCTCATGGCCTCATCTGAATCTGATCACCCCACCTTCCAATATCTTCATATTGGGAGTTGGGGCTTTAACCTGTGGATTTTGGGGGACATAGTTCAGTCTGAGCAGTGGGACCTGAGCAGGCAGGTGGGATATGCCATCTGAGGCAGCCGTGGAGCCTGATGCTCCACTGGACACGACATCCTGGGACAGACGCCCTGCGGGACGTGCGGGCTGTTGGGAATTTTCAGAGGCTTCATCTGCAGAGGATCCTGGTTTCCAAAGCCAGATGTCCCTTTTTACAGATGAGGAGCAGCACATGGAGAACAAGCGTCTTCAGAGGCAGGGTCTAGGGTCTCCTGAAATCAGGGTCTTGCCCCGTGGGTCTCCACCCTTTTCTATGCCTTAGGGACAGATCATGCTGTGGCAGAGAAGCTCAGGGGCTGAGGCTCACTGCTAAAGCAGCGTCTGAATGTGGCTTGTGCTTGCAGCCAAGAGAGGAAAGGTGCCTGTCCCCCCAGGGGGCAGCCAGGGGTCTGCTGGTCTCCGCCGATGGGCCTGAGTGTACCTGAAAAGGACAGATAGGAAAGGGGTGGCTGCCTGGCTGGACCCCTAGGCGATGCTCTGTTGGGACCCAGAGGTTGTCGGGGGGAACCAGGGTGGGTACAGCCTGGGAGCAGGGAGCAGGGAGTCGAGGCCCATCTGCGGGTTTTCCAGGTAGGGCCCTTTGCGACCGCCAGGCAGCTGGGAGAGGCTGAATCTCCACCATACATGTCTTGAGAGCACAGTGCCTGGGAGCAGGCTAGAGGAAAGGGGCCTGGTAATCTCCCAAAATCACCCCTCCAGGGGGCCTCAGCCAGGAAGGAGAGAGAGTGGTGGGAGTATGAGGGTGACTGTCAGAGAGACCCCCAGAATCACAGGCTTCAGGTGCTGGGGGGCCGCAGAGGCCTTCCCGCCTGGCCCTGTGCGGGCAGCACACCTCTGCTGAGAGGCTGCAGGGGCCAGGGCTGGGGGCTGGTGCTGCCTCTGGTGGCCCTGACTTCTTGCTGCCCAAGGCTTGGTTCCTGGTCAGGAAGACTTCTCTACCCCCAGACAGGAGACCTGTGCATGCCCACCCCATGGCACAGCTGGGATCAGGACCAGTGTCTGCTGCTGCATGCCCTGTTCATGGCCACTGGTGCACCCTGGACCGGCCTCAGAGGCGGGTCTGGCCAGGCTGGATGGAGGGAGGGGCTGACAGCAGACCTGGGGCTGCCACACCCTTGGGGGAAGGGCTGCGGCGACGTGGGCGCCTCCCGTTGGCTGGGCCGACAGCCTCCCGCCTGGCTGCACAGGATGTTTCTTTAAGGAGCTTTCCCGTGCACCTCCTGTGTGCAGCTGGACCCCGGGGCGGTGGCCGTTCCCTGAGCCCAGTGCTTGTCTGGGCTGGCTGGCCTGGCGGCTGCTCACAACTCCCAGTGGGTTGCATCTGTGGAGCTTTCACCTACAAAAGGGGAAGGAGGTAGCCCGAGGAGCTGAGGCCTGGCCTTGCTCTGACCGGTGCCAGCAGCAGCACTTCCTGGATGTGCCCACTGTTATGACACTCAGGCCGAGTCAGGTCCAGACTCAAACCCAGGTGGAAAGGAGTGGGACCCCCTGCCAGGGCCGAAAGGCCCCAGAGAGGAGCCTGTGGGTGGGCTCCCCTTGCCCTCTGCAGAGGCTTAAGGCCCCTGGGGGCATGAGGATGGGGTTCCCAGGCCAGCCTGGTGTTTATCAGCTGTCCCAGCTGACCTCCCCCCACCTTGCACCACGCGCCCCAGGCCAGGCCAGTTCCTCTTCCAGAAGTCCCAGCCATCCTCAGGGTGAGCTGCCCTCCTAGACACCGTACGGAGAGCTCCTTCCTGTTCACAGGTGAGGAAACCCGAGCTTGGAGGCATGTTGACTGGGATGCGTGTGGCCAGGACCCAGCTGGGTCTGTGAGTCCTAGCAGGCGCCGGAGTCTGTGCTTGCTGCAGCTGTATGCCAACAGGGTGTGCAGAGGAAAGGAACCTGACATAACATCTTATTACTCATTGTTCCTTTTTATTACAAGTTCTGAGAAATGGGCAGCAATAGTGACATGGAAATGACCCCAGGCACACAGGCAGGCATCTGCAGAGAACCTGGCAGCAGCCCCTTCCGAAGCACATCCTAGAAGCCCGGCCACGGCCCCTTCCCAGGCACGTCCTAGAAGCCCGGCCACGGGACCTTCCCAGGCACGTCCTAGAAGCCCGGCCACGGCCCCTTCCCAGGCACGTCCTAGAAGCCCGGCCACGGCCCCTTCCCAGGCGCGTCCTAGAAGCCCGGCCACTGCCCCTTCCCAGGCGCGTCCTAGAAGCCCGGCCACGGGACCTTCCCAGGC